CCATGTAGCCTGGGCCCACCGCCGCGAAATTCGAGACCGCCTGGGGCCGCGGCGTCTACCTGGGGCGCTCGCTGGAGGACGACCAGCGCATCTGCGGCACGCGGCGTGGCATCGCCCTGGCGAGATCGGTCCGACGGCTGGTGGAGAGCGAGCGGTGCGACAGGCAGCTGCTGCTCGGGGCGAAGGGCGCCCCTGGGTGCGTCGAGACGGCCAACGCGGAGGGCGCCAGTGGTCGACAGGATCGCCAGGGCCCTGGGCCTGGACCGGCCCTAGCCTGCCAGGCTTTCGCGGCCTGAGGGCGCCGCGGCGCACGAGGGGCAGCCCGACCGGCCTCGGCAAGCCAAGCCCGAGGCGGAGCGAGAGCAGGACTCGGCAGCTGGTGCTGCGCCAGCCGCCAACCAGGGCGCGCGCGCGATGAGGAGATGCGCTGCGACGACGTGGAGGACGACAGTACCCAGCCTGCCGCCAAGAGGCCGAGAGACGGCCACCTGCGCGAGCGCTGCCCGACCCGATGTCCAAGGAGTTCACGCCGGGCTGCAGTGGATGCTTGGGCTTACCGTACCGGCACTCGAACTATTGCCTCCAAAGGAGGGGGCTGGCCCTCCGAGACCCACGCGGACAGCGGGTTGCTGGTGAGGGTTCGGTTGCGCCAGATTCGAAGCGCGCAGCAGTGGAAGAAGCTGAAAGTACTGCTGGCAAGCGGACCGGCGAGGCGGCCGCGGAAGGCGAGGCGCGCGATGAGGAAAGGAAGGTAGAGACGATGAAGGTTTGCAACGTGAAGGGCTACCCCGATGGGCACCGAGCTCTGCGCCCCCTGCGAGCTCGACCCGAACTTCGAGTTGCTGAACGAGGACTACTACGACGACGATGACGGCGAGCAGCTCGACATGGACCAAGTCCGCGAGGGCATCGAACGAGAGGCGAAGTTCATGGAGTCGCTCAACATCGGCGAGGCGATCGAGCGCCCTGGCGGCAGGAAGGTCTGGGGCGCGCGAGGTGCCACTGCAAGAAGGGCGACGGCGTCAGGGGCAGGTTCGTCGCGAAGCAGTCCAAGGATGCGCAGGCAGGCGACTTCTTGGCCTGCGCCCCGCGCACGGAGGCCGTAAGAGTGCTGATGGTGGCGGCGCTGCTGCTCGAGCGCATCTTCGTGATGGTGGACTTCAGCGTGGCTTGCAGCCGCGCGCCAGTTCAGGAGGACGCCGAGATCTATGTGGGGATGCCCATGCCTGAGCACGGCATGGGCGATGGCCTCGTGTGGAAGCTGAAGAAGTTTATCTACGGGCTTCGGGAGGCAGCGCTCAGGTTTCTGGAGCTCCTGGAGCGCGTCGCGGTTGGCCTTGGTTTCGAGGCGTGCAAGGCCGAGCCCGCCATCTACCGCCACAGGGAGAAGGGTAGCAGAGTCGTTGTCCACGCGGGCGATCCTCTTGCATCGGGCTCGACGCAAGGTGTGCTCAACCAGTTCTTCGACGAGCTGGCCGCGCACCTTGCGATCACGGGGCGACGCGATCTGGCCGACGCCCCCGTGGTCAACCTCGGCTCGTTGTTGCAGCGGCTCGGGGTTGTGATTGTGGAAAAGAGCTTGCCTGGCTACGTTGAGAGCGCCCTCGAGGCCGCGGGGATGCCGGGCTGCAAGGCCGCGGGCGCTGCGGGGGCGAGGGCAGACCTCGCGCAGCCTGGAGCCGAGCAGCCGCTCAACAGCGAGTAGCACGGGCTGTGCTGGAGGTGCTGCTGGAAGATCCAGCGTGCCATCCCGCGGCGGCTGGGCGCGAAGCGCCCGCTGAAGGAGCTTGGCGGGCGGCTGAGCGAGCCGCGCTTGGCCGACGAAGTGGCTGAAGCACTTCCTCCGCTGCCTCAGCGTGGCGATCGACCTGGCGCTGGCTCACCGTTCTTCGCGAGACTGGATGCGTCCGCGAGTCTGCGAGGGGGCGCGGACTCGGACTGGGCTGGATGTCATCAGACGCGGAAGTCGACAGCGCGCGGGATCGTGCGATGGCGCGGCGCGGTCGCGAGTGCCCGTGCCCGCGCGGAGTCGGCCCTGGCCCAGCCTAGCCCAGAGGCCGAGTATTTGGCGGCGGTGGAGCTGGCAGCGGGGATGCGATGCGTTCGTGAGCTCGTCAGGTTCATGGTCTTGGAGACGTCTCTGGAGATCGGGTGCGACGCCTCCTCCGCCATCGCGATCTCCTCGCGGCGAGGTCTCGGCAGGCTGCGCCACCTGGAGGTCACGTGGCTTTGGCTCCAGCAGCTCGTCGGGGCGGGGCAGATCGAGATCCCGAGGGCGAAGGGCACGGATAACCCACCCGACGTCGGTGCGAAGTTTCTGTGCAAGGCTGCGCTGAAGAAGTGTCGCTCTATGCTAGGTATAGCGCCCGTTGGGAAGCATGGCGCTGGGACTGCGGCGGCCCTGGCGGCGACTGGGGGAGCACGATGCATGGCTGCGTTCGCGGTGATGGCGAGCGCGGTAAGAGCGGGGGCCACGACCACGGCAACTACGACGACCACAGCGGATGCACCAGAGGTGCACGTAATGATTGCCATGGTCAGATCGGGATTATGTGTGTTGACGGGGATGGTGCTCGCAATCTGCTGCGCGGCCCTGCGACAGCAGTAAGGAGCAACGAGCTCGAGTTCTGGTGCTACGTCGCAGGTGTAACCTGACCAGGAGCTGGAGCCAGATCAGCCCCCACCTGCGGGTCGAGCGCCGCCCCCAGACGACGAGACAGCCGTTGTTACTCGGCGGGCCGCGACGCAGTTTTACCGCCTCGAGTCTTGGAGCACGGTGGTCCACTCGTCTGCACGGTGTAGCGGGCTTCAAGGGCACGCCAGGCGAGTGATTAGACGTGTTCGCTGCCTGGTCTGCACGAGGCCCGTGCCAGTCGGCATACCGCAAATGTTTCACGCCAGTACCGAGGAGTCCGCGATTCACGCTGGCGGGAACCGCCGAGGCCTTCGGTCAAGGAAGCACCGCCTGGTCTCGAGGCGGACGTGTCTGCTGTGTTTTGGGCGGTGAGGCTCGCGCCACTTCCGCGGGTATTCCGCCGTGTCTGCGACGGCGCGTTCACCGCGTCATTCGCCGAGGACGAAGAGATGCGCATGTGATTTACGGGCCCCTCGGCAACAGGCTCGAGGAGGGGCGTTCAGACCCCTGGAGCCCCGAGGCCCCCCCCTTATCGCTGTGCGTTCATGTCACACATAGCGTTGCCGAGTGATTGAATTGACGGTATGACTTACTAAATAAAGCCTGTTTGGCAAGAGGATTCAAGAATGAAGAGAGATTCGTGATCATAGAATTGCTGTCAAGATATGAACATGGGATGTGGGGGGGGAATACGAACATCAATAACAGGTGCAACCATGCAAAAATTATGGGGTTGATGCGCAGTTAGCGGTAGTTCGTTTATTCCTTGTTTTGCCGATCGTCGCGGGCCCTCGCACCCCCCCTTCCCCCGCCCCGGGGGGTAGTTTTTGGTTGTTTTTTGGTGCATGTTTCGAGCATGTGGAGTCTCCTCCAGAGGCAGCACTTTTGCAAATAGTCGCACCAAGCAGAGGTCTGGAGCCAGACCCCCCCTCCCCCCCTCTTGCCGCCCAATGTCGACACGCCGAATGGAAAACCAACGCTAATCCGTAAGGGCTTCGCCCCCTGCCGCCGGCCTCCTCTCTCGGAGAATGGGCCGTGGAAGAGCGACGTCATGAGGCTTTGGCTTCGCCGTGAAGCAGTGTCGGGACCTGTTTGTTTTTTCCGACCCTGACCCTACGGATCTGCGTGAGGGGTACCGCCGGATTTTAGAAATGTGGCAAATCCTCTCTGACCCTACGGATCTGCGTGGGGGGTGCCGCCGGCATTTTACTCCCCTGTGTTTTTGGACCCTGACCCTGCCGATCTGCATGTGGGGTGCCGCCACATTTCAGAAATGTGGCAAATCCCTTGTGTTTTTGGACCCTGACTTTGCCGATCTGCGTGAGGGGTGCCACCGAATGTCAGAAATGTAGCCAATCCTTTGTGTTTTTGGACCCTGACTTTGCCGATCTGCGTGAGGGGCGCCACCGAGTTTCAGAAAAGTGGCAAATCCCATATGTTTTTGGACCCTGACCCCGCCGATTTGCGTGAGTGGTGCCACCAAATTTCGGCAGAAATGTAGCAAATCCCACATGTTTTTGGACCCTGACCCCGCCGATTTGCGTGAGTGGTGCCACCAAATTTCGGCAGAGATGTAGCACATCCCATATGTTTTTGGACCCTGACCCCGCCGATCAGCGTGAGTGGTGCCGCCGAATTTCAGAAATGTGGCAAATCCGATATGTTTTTGGGCCCTGACCCTGCCGATGTGCGTGAGGGGTGCCACCGAATTTCAGAAATGTTGCAAATCCTATATGTTTTTGGACCCTGACCCCGCCGATCTGCGTGAGGGTTGCCACCAAATTTCAGAATGTGGCAAATCCTCTGTGTTTTTGGACCCTGACCCCGCCGATCTGCGTGAGAGGTGCCACCGAATTTGGGAACTGTGGCAAATCTCATGTATTTTCGGGCCCTGACCCCGCCGATCTGCGTGAGGGGTGCAAATTTTTATTTACCCCAGCAATTCAGACTATACAATTTGGGTGTGGTAAAAATGCCCGTTTTGGGCCTCCCCCCCTCGCGCAGTCCATCAACAAGGAACAGCATGCAGCAAGAAGCCAGCAAGGAACAGTAAGCAGCAAGAAGCAGAGCTGCAACCTGTGGAAGCTGGCAGCTGCAACTGGCACAGGAGGCTGCGAACCCCCGGCCTACCGCCTGGCGGCCCCGCGAGGCGGCCGGCGGATTTATTTGTGTGCCCCTGGGCCCTTTCAGAGAGCGCTGATCTCGGGCCGGACGAAAGAGGGGGATAGGGAAAGGGGGGGTTACGAAATTTGCTGCATGCAGCTTGTTTCGGCCCCACCGAGGGCCCCATTCCTCGATACATGGCGCCGGGAGGCACTGGAAAAGTTAGCTACGTGAGCTGATTCTCAAACCCCCCCTTTGCTATCCCCCCCTTTCGCCCGGCCCAATGATCCGACTGATCGCTCCGATCCTGGGTTCTCCTCTGGCAGGCGGCCCCGCCCTGCGGCGACGCCCCAGCGGCCGCGGCTCCGCCGGCGCCGCGGCCGAGGGAGCGTTCGGTGGCAAACCAGGGGAGCCGGGTATACCCTTACGTCGGGCGTGCCCCTCTACAGGAGGAAGATTTAGCAATAGTCCAGAAAATCGTCCGGGGACTAGTTTGGTACCATGTTTTGTTCTTTTGGGGCATTTTTGGACAATGTTTTTTTGTCTTGTGTTCAAAATCGGCCTGTAGGGGGACAGGCCCGACTTAAGTATACCTTCTTAAGTCCGTCTTTAGCGTCGGTTAGCGTCGATTAGCGACTGGAGTCGATGAGATGTCGCCGATTCAGCTTTGGCTAGCGTCGATGAGCGTCGATTCAGCGTCGACGAGCGTCGACTTAGCATCGACGAGCGTCGATTCGCAAGAGGCGACAAGATGGTGCGGGAGGCTGCCGTGAGCTGCCACCGAAGGAGCGGCCAGTGCCGCGCAGTTACCGGAGCGCCACACCGAAGAGCGCCGCCTCGCACGGCGCCGCCCGCGGCTCGCTCCGGGACGGCGGCGGCGACCCTGCGGCGTCGCCGCAGCCGTCCGCCTGCAAGCTGGCGTCCCCGTCCAGGCCAGGGCCCACGTCGCTCCGATGGATGCGGTGCGATCTCCCCAGACATCACGGCCGATTGAATGAGTACTGTCAGTATTAACCATACTTATCACAACAACAGTAACAATGGGATTCTTAAGAGTGGTATGCTCTTCTTCTCATTAGGACTATCTGTATTATGTTGACCAGGATGATAGTCTCAGTGTGAATCGCTTCTTGCTGTTTTTTCTGATCCTTCTCCTCCTCCTCCTCGTCCTCTTCTTCCTCCGCCTTGTCCTCTTCCTCCCCGGACACTGGCGACATCCCGGCGGCAGGTCTATAGCACCATGTTCGGCCTCGGAGGGGCCTGGCCTTCGCCGGGCCTCAGGGCCGTGCGCCAAGCGGCGGGGGGGGGGAAAAAGCTGGCCCCGTGGAGTGGGCCGAGACAGCCAAGGGGCCCTGAGATCCAACGCGTTGAAAAAATCAAGGCGGAGGTGTTTCCCAAATTTCGGCCCCCAGGGGCCTTCGCCGGGCCTCGAGGCCGTCAACAAAACGACTCAGAATGAAGCACCGGCCCTGGGGGATGGGTCGAGACTGCCGGGGACCCCGTATCGAAAAATCGCGACAACGGATCTCTGGGGGTCCCCGTCGTGAGCGAAGCACGACGTCGGGGGTCTGGGTCGGGGTCGGCCACGTGTCGACCCGGTGCGGCGCCGATGCTCCGAGGAGCTGCCGCGGCCTCCGAGGATCACGCCTGCGGCCCGAGGCCTGCACGGCGCTGGGGTGCACTCCCGGCGCAGCCGCTGCGGTTCGATGTTTTTTCGGCTCCGTGCCGATGCAGCCCGAACAAAAAAACATCGGGGGCGGAAAAGAGGGGGGTGATGACTAGGGGGGGGGTGGATTTCATGGCGCGGGCCATGATTTTTCCTCAGATTTCATGGCGCCCCTTCTTGTTTCACTACGCCCCTGGCCCCCCCGCTGGGCCGCGCACATGCCGCCGGTCATGATTTGCACCCCCCCCTCTTGGACACCCCCCTCTTGGCCGCTCCCGAAAACAACACGGCCAAGGTGTTCCACCAATCTCGGCCCTCGCCGGGCCTCGGGGCCGTCAAAAAGCGACGCAGGATGAGAAGCCGGTCCCGGGGAATGGGTCGAGGCTTCCGGGGACCCCGTGGTGAAAAAAATCGCGACACCAAGTCTCGATGCGCACTCCGGTTCGATCCGATTGTTCCACCCTATGCGGACTGATCCTGCCAGGCCGCTGACGGGCACCACGACGGGCGACGACTCGCTGATGAACGCGTCGTTCTCCACGATGAACACCGCGTCGTGGCGCGAGGAGGGGGGGACAGAACTGTGTACCGATACCGCTGCTCCCCAGGCCCCTCCCGCGGAATGAGTTCTGACGAGTTCGAAGAGCATCCAGCCGTGCCCGCGAGAGCTCTCCATGACGAGCAGCGGTCTCTGAGATCCAGCGGCACGAACAAATTGAAACATCGGAGAACATTACGGCCTGAGCCCTGAACCAACCTTTCCTTTGCATTTTCAAGCTGGATCGATCAGTGAGGGTCTTGGGGCATGAATTTAGGCGAAAACGCGCGGCTCGAAAACATTACGACGCCCGGTTCGCAGCGGTAGCAGTACCTGCTCAAGACGGGCCCCCCTGAAGTGCAGACCCTTTCCTCGGGATCGGTCTTGCATGCTGAGTCGTTGTTGCTGGGGGCCCGGAGCCCGGCGAGGGCCCCCGAGGCCAAAACTTCTGAAATCCAATCGTATCGTCTTTTTCCTTACGTTGGAGGTCGGGGGACAACTACAGTAAGAGATCACAGCTGGAGTCCTAGAGCCGATCTTCCTGCTGCGTTGTCTAGCCGGATCGATTTGTGAGGGAAGGCCGCAATCACGCGAAAAATTACGTTTTTTTTTCACATTGAGATCAGTATCGCAGCGGCACCTGCACCTACGAACAATCTCTGTTTTGATTGCTTGTTTGATGTGTAAAAGGTCGGTGTACCTGTCCCATACACTTCCCTCGTACACGAGGAGGACTTGAGATGTTCTGCATTGCTCGATACGGGGTCCGCGGAAGTCCCGACCCCTTCCCAGGGACCAGTTTTGCAGGTTGAGTCGTTATTTGACTTTCCCGTGGAGGCCGACACATGTTTCAACACGACGGAGGTCGGGGTATTCCCCCCCCCTCTTCGTCGAGTGGACCTCCTCGGTCGTCGTTTCGTCGTTCCTCCAGAAGGAGGGAGGGGGAGGAGGAGGAGGAGGAGGAGGAGGAGGAGGAGGAGGAGGAG